CCCAGCTCGGCCTTCAGTGTTCTGATTTCGTACCTCACCCTCCAGTTCCTCCATTCTCTGGGCATCTAGTCGCTGTTAAGCCAGGAACCTGTTCTCCTTCTCTTGCATCCTTTGAAGGATCGCATTTAGGGCAGTGTTAGTTATGTGGTTGTCAGCTCCGGATTGGTCATTCTGTGGCTGCTGAGGCGCCGACTCCGTCGCAGGGTTGCTCCGGGTCGTGGTATGCAAAGGTCCAGCGCTGGCCTCTCCAACCTGCACGTCCACCAAGACTGTGTTGGCGACCTCTTGGAGACGCTCGAGGACAGATTGATGTGGTGGTTGGGATTGAGCATTGCTAGATGTTGCATGAGTATTTGTCATCGTGGAATGGGAATCAAAATTTATTGTTTCCCACAAACGGCGCCAATGTAAGGTCCTAGAAGACCTTATTGCTATACCGTATGGTATGCGCTCAGAGATACCTTAGAGATAGGTATCTAGATTGACTTATAGCCAATACTCCAATCACTGCGCACAAGCAATAGGCTTATAACCAAGACGTGAGTGTGTGCACAATGTTGACAACAATAGTAAAGTAGGTCAAAAAGATGATTTTTTATCCTTCTAACATAGAGAAATATTAGCCTAACACTTCTATGAATTTCTCAATTTTTTCAAGAGCAATTATGTCTTCTATATATGATGAGAAGATCTTTATGTTATTTACAGTATATGTTTACGGTAGAATTAATCTTTATTTTCAAACAGACTATGGGATTTATCTTTTGGCAAGAAAAGGAAAGGGGAATACTTATACAGAAGAAAACCGAGGAAAAAAAGGAAGAACAAATAATACAGATTTGAGTAGACATTGAAGTGAAATGATAACACAATGTAGGTGAAAAGATTTAGAGGTGAGATGAGAAGAGAACGAAGGAGAGAGAGAGAGGATATAATGAGTAGAAACATTTTTTACTTTCAACGGGAAGCACATGAACAATTAATAGAGTTTGAATTTTTTTAACAAATATGCTTAGTTGTTTAAATTTCATAGTAGAAGGAGGTTAATTACAACATGGTGATCTTTTGAAAAATAACCCAAGTACAAGGGGGTAACATATAATTTACCCTAAAAAATTTTGTCTTTCAATGTTGTTTTAAAACAAATACTAGAGTATGGCAGTTAGTCTTGTACATAAATCATACGGATCTATTTCGTATGTTTGTGATGCGGCATTTTTTGCAAGCCTGACAGTTTTGCATAAAAAATGTAGGGGATCAATCTTGTATGATTTATGTACATGACATCTGCAAATAAATAGTTAGGATGTAAATGGTTCAGACAACTTGTCAGGAATCTATCGTCTAGCTTGATTTAACCTAATTCATTTTAAAAATAATATAGATTTGTACTTGTTTTAAAAATCAGGGCACAAACCTATTTTAAAGGTATGGTCATTGGTCTTTATATCTCTACGTTTATCTTGTATTTTTTAATAAAATAATATTTATTATTTTAAACTTTTTAACTCTCTTTTGGGACTTTTGGGCATGGGTGTGTAATAAGTTTAGCACCTGAATGTATGTTTCCAACCATTGCAAATGGTAAATGATTATAAAATTCTTAACCAAATCAAACTCATTTCAAGTGGTTCGTTTCAAAATTAAAGCTAAATATTTTAGTTGATTTGAGCAAATATTTTTTACCAAGTCTCCAGATTTGACGCTAACATAGTTCTTGCCAGATGAAGATTGAGATTAGGAACTCCAAATATGTTGTGACGAGTGGGCCTATCAAGACATTCTAATGCCAGTAAAAGAATTTTGAAATTAAGTCTTTATTTGTATATCCTCTTCCTCCTAATGTAGGCTCTGTTCAATTGCCGAGTTGGAAATATCTTTTTGAAGGCAGACACAATTATAATGTAATTTTTTTCTTTAGAATTACAAATATTTATACGATAAAAGAATTAAAATGGTACTTACAGTTAAAGACTTCTATAAGTTTTAAAGGGGGGTGAGCTCCAAATGTATGACCAAAAAATCAGAAATAATTCTCACTTTTAAAAGTTTATATAAACTTAAGGGAGGCAATCGTCCCCCGGTAGAACTCAGTTTCTACCTAGGGAAATTTGGAGAAAATTGAGAACAGAGATGAGAACAAGAGGAGAGATGAGAAGAAATAATTTTTATTTATTGATCAAATCATACCACACTAGAATAATGGTTCCCTCTTTACTTTTATACATTTGACACCTCCCTAAATGATTGTCACGTGTCTCCTATATTTTTACAGCTCATCTTTCACTTTCCTACTTAATGGTCACGTGTCCCATATCACCCCTCCCTTATGTATCTTCCCTGAACCTGCTTGGCTTCCTTATTGTGCGTATGGCTTTTCTCTCAGCAATGCTTAATTCCACTTGCTCATTCTGCTCTGTTTTTGTTGCTGAATTTTTCTTCTCTATTTCCTGGTCTTCATTCGTATCAATACCCCAGCCATTGAAACTAACCTTGTCCTCAAGGTTAAAAGCAGGAAATTGCTGTTGGAATTCTTGGAGCGGTTCCCATGTAGCCAACTCAGATGGTAACCCTTCCCATAACACTTGGACCTCCGGAACTGGGCTGCTCACACCTGCTGTGCGAGTAGCTAAGATCTCTTTGGGCTGTAGAATTGGTAATCCACTTGTATACATGTCAGGCAAAGGAAAAGGAGGAATATCTTGGTCACCCCGAAATGGTTTAAGCAGAGAAACATGGAAGGTATGATGAATTTTTGCTGTTGAAGGTAGAATTAATTTGTAAGCAACCTTACCTATTCTTTTTTCAATAGGGAAAGGTCCAAAATATCTGGGTGCAAGCTTCTGAAATTCACGAGTAGCTACTGATTGTTGTCTATGAGGCTGGAGACGGACCCAAACCAATTCCCCCTGTTTATACTGAGCATCTCTTCTATGGTTGTCAGCATAATTTTTCATGCTTTGTTGAGCTTTCAGCAGATTGTCTCTCAATTGTGCAAGTATGACTTGCCTATCGACAAGTAGAGAATCTACCTCTTGTATAGTAGCGGAAGTAGGAATATAATCCAAGAGTGATGGTGGTTCCCTTCCATATACTATCTTGAAGGGTGACATGCCTGCTGATGAGTGGAAGGCAGTATTATAGCAAAGTTCAGCCCATGGTAAGAGGTTAGACCACCTCTTAGGAGAATCAGCCACAAAACATCGCAAATATTGCTCCAACACCCTGTTCACCACCTCAGATTGGCCATCTGATTGTGGATGATAAGCTGTTGATCTTCTCAAACTTGTGCCACTTAATTCAAAGAGCTCAACCCAAAATTTACTAAGGAAAATGGGATCTCTATCTGAAATGACCGATTTGGGAATGCCATGTAGTTTACAAATCAGATGGGTGAAAAGATTGGCCACCTTTCCTGCATTGTATTTTTTTGGTAACACTCCAAAGTGGGCCATTTTAGATAGCCTATCAACAACTACCAGAATGGTAGTGTAGCCATGGGAAGGAGGAAGTCCCACTATAAAATCCATATAAAGGTCCTCCCATACTCTCTCGGGAATGGCGATGGGCTGAAGTAACCCTGCAGGTGCTTGTGTGGGCATTTTCACTTGTTGGCAAGTCACACAAGAATTGACAAATTTTTTTATATCCTGCCTCATATTGGACCATGTAAAACTGGTTGAGACGCGAGCCTTTGTTTTTTGAATGCCAAAATGACCACCTGCTAGTGTGGAATGACATTCATGTAGAATTTGGTTGACTAAAGGTGAGGCTGGATCAAGAAGCAACTTACCCTTTTTTAACACTAAGCCATCTCTGATTTGTAAATCATGGTTGGAACTGGAATTATTCAATAATACTTGCTGCTGTTGTCTGAAAAATTCAGAACTACTATTTTCTTGTCTCAATGCTGCCAAAATATCAAATTGATTGACTGATAGGGTCATGAAACTCATCACCTCGGGCTGTCTTGATAAAGCATCCGCAACACGATTGTCTTTACCCGGTTTATAGACAATGGAGTATTCAAAACCGAGAAGTTTGGTGAGATAGTATTGCTGCTCCGGTGTTTGAATGACCTGATCCAACAAGGATTTTAAACTTTTCTAATCTGTTCTGATTAAGAATCGTCTCCTCAACAAATATTGCCGCCACTTCTTTACAGCTTCTGTTATGGCATAAAGCTCCCGGACATAGGCTGCTGCCCTTTGCATTCTTAAGGACAATTTCTTGCTAAAATAAGCAAGAGGATGATCATCTTGTAGTAGAACAGTTCCAATACCAAGGTCTGAAGCATCTGTCTCAATTTTGAAATCTTGATGGAATTTTGGCAGTGCCAACACAGGAGCACTTGTCATGGCTTCCTTAAGAGCATTAAATGCAGTGTGAGCTTGAGCAGACCACAAAAAGGCATCTTTTTTTAATAATTCAGTCAGAGGAGCTGCTATGGAAGCATAGCCTTGTACAAACTTGCGATAATAGCTTGTAAGTCCAAGAAATCCCCTTAGTTGTTTGATGTTTTTTGGAACAGGCCAATCCAACATAGCTGTGACCTTATTTTGATCCATACTGACACCACAGTTGGAGACAACATGCCCAAGGTATTCAACCTCGCTTTGTGCAAAAGAGCATTTGCTTTTCTTAATGAAGAACTGGTGTCTTTGTAAGGTGTAGAGAACCTGCCTTAAGTGCTGGAGATGTAACTCCATAGAAAAGCTATATACAAGTATGTCATAAAAAAAAACTGCAACAAACTTGCGTAAGTAAGGCTGAAAAATCAGATTCATCGTGGCTTGGAATATGGACGGGGCATTAGACAATCCAAAAGGCATAACTAAAAATTCATAATGGCCTTGGTGAGTTCTAAAGGCTGTTTTATAACTGTCTTCAGGTTTAAGGAGGATTTGATGGTAGCCCGCCCTCAAATCTAGTTTCGAAAATACTTGTGACCCTCCTAACTCATCCATCAACTCATCAACAGTAGGGATTGGAAATCTGTCTCAGATGGTAATGCTATTTAAGGCTCTATAATCAATGCAAAATCTCCAAGTACCATCTTTTTTTTTTACTAGCAATACAGGAGATGAGAATGGACTAATGCTATTCTTAATAAAACCAGAATCAAGCATTTGAGCCACTTGTTTTTCAATTTCTCCTTTTTGGAAGTGGGGATATCTATAGGGTTTGACATTAACAGGAACAACATGTGGTTGAAGATGTATTTCATGATCAATTTGGAGGTGGGGTGGTAAATCAGTAGGTTCTTGAAATAATGAATCAAATTCTGTTAGAAGGTGTTGTACCTGAGGATGTGATGAAGATGATGATGTTGCCACAGTAGCAGGGTTGATCACTGATAATTGAAACAATGATGCTACTTGACCTTTTTGTTGGATGCGTCTAAATTGGTTCAAGGAAATAGGACTGGTATGTGATTCCCCTTTGAGCTTGATAGTTTCATCCTTCCACAAAAATTCCATGGTCAGCCTGCTGTAGTCCAAGGTAACTGGTCCCAAAATTTGCAGCCATTTAACACCAAGAACCATGTCAGCTCCCTGAATGGGCAACACATAAAAGTCGACCAAAAAAACATGGTGTTGAATTTGAACCGGTACTGCTGGACAAAAACCTTCACATTGGAGGAGTTGTCCATTTCCAACCATAACTTCAAACTTTCGATCAGCAGTGATTGGCAATTCAAGGATAGATGCAACCTTCGGTTGGAGAAAATTATGAGTGCTCCCTCCATCCACTAACAAGGAGAATTCGGATTTACCAATATGACATTTAAACCGTAGAGTCTGAGGTACGACCATACCAGCCAAAGCATGAAAACTTATTTGAGGAGTTGTTGTTTCACCCCCAAATGTGGCTGGTTCTGCTTTTGAATATGTGCCAGTATCCTCCAGTACAATATCTTCTTCTACTGCTTCATCATCTGGCACAATTAATATATGCACAGAGGCCTTACACTTATGACCGAAAAAATATTTGTCACCACAAGTGAAGCATAGGTTTTTATCTCTACGCTCTTGAATTTGGCTCTGGGTAAGGCGTTGGGTATTGGGTTTGTTTTGGTGTGAAGGGTTATTGGCAGTGGTGAATTTAGGTGGAATTGTGGTTGGGTTTGTTTTTGGTTGTGGTGTTGGTAATAAAGGAGGGAAGGGAGAATTTAGTTTAGGTGGGTTGTTCTTCAGGGCCAATTTGGATTCTTGAATCTTGGCTAATGCCATAGCACGGGTTAACGTGGAAGGGGCAAAAGCTGATACCTCATGCTGAATTTCAGGTTTCAGACCAGAAACAAAACAACTCAAAAGGAAAGATTCAGATAAACCATCGACTCGATTGGAAAAACTTTCAAATACCTCATGATACTCCATCACTGTCCCAGTTTGCATCAGTTTCGCTAATTTGCCTTGATAATCCTCCATGTCTGAAGAACCAAATCGAACTTGCAAAGCTTCCAAAAATTGTGGCCATGAAACAATTCTGGAATTTTTGTTAAGCCATTGATACCACGCCAATGCTTTCCCATCGAAGTAAAACGGGGCCACCTTCAATCTCTGGCCTTCCTCCATCTCATAAAAATCAAAGAATTGGTTGATTTTAAAAATCCAACCTTGTGGGTCGCTCAACCCATCAAAACGAGAAACCTTAATGCGCAAATTTCTTGCTGCTGTCTGATCGCGGAAGCTTGATGACTGTTGGTTCGCTGATGCATTTGGGGGCGATTGACGTTCGCGATAATTGTCGAATATCGCGTCTAGTTTGCATGTCAATTCTTGAAACTGTTTGTGCATTTGCTCCTTCAAAACTTCTATTTCCGCTTGCTGATTATCCATGCGATCCTCAACCGATCGGCCTCGCATTTCAGGTGCCATTGTTTAGGGATGAAAACACCAAATTGGTAGAACTCAGTTTCTACCTAGGGAAATTTGGGGAAAATTGAGAACGGAGATGAGAACAAGAGGAGAGATGAGAAGAAAGAATTTTTATTTATTGATCAAATCATACCACAACAGAATAATGGTTCCCTCTTTACTTTTATACATTTGACACCTCCCTAAATGATTGTCACGTGTCTACTATATTTTTACAGCTTATCTTTCACTTTCCTACTTAATGGTCACGCGTCCTGATGCCTTGCTAACAGTTGTGCAAGTAATGCGCGCAAGTATACGCGACAACAAGTAATATAGGGCTGTTATAAGTCCCAGATATCGTTCCCACAAGGATCGTTGGCGTTTTGAAATGACTAAAGGTTGTAATTGCTTAAAACTGAGTTGATATTTGAAAATAAAAGAAATAAAAATTGTAAGGTAAGAATAATCTAGAATGGATCTAAAATCCTACTGTTCACTTTTCTTTTAAAATTTTTCTGAATTACTTTCCTAAGTTATAAAATAAGAATGAAGAATGGAGCAACTTAAATGAAAGATGTGACAAAAATTTTGAAAACGGAATAGAGATTGAAATATGAAATAACAAAGGAAATTGGAAAATCTGGATTGATAAAGAGGTTTAAAAAGGTGGGCTGAGTTCTGGTTCTCCTTCCCCACAGTGCTTGAAAAATAATTTGATTAACAAAAAGCTCATTCTAAGATTCTCAGTTAACAGGGCTGTATTGTTAATTTTTAATCTCTTAAAAATTGTTTTATCCCAAGGTTGCCCACTTCCATATCTCTATGCCAAGTGGGATTAGGACTCTTGAGATTCAGGTCCAATATTACATGAGGACTCATTCATTTCTGAATTGAGATCCCTTAGATGATTTCTCATCTAAGTCCATGTGTCTAATGCAGAATCCAGAATTAATTGTTTCTCAACAACTAAATCCTAACCAAACATCTGTCATTTGGCCAAAATGCAGATAATTTTAAACATTAGAAACAGCATTAAACAACTGAGATATAAACATTAAAACCAGGAAATCAAATATCTGACAAGCACTGAGGTTTGGGTATCACCTAAACCCAACCTCTAAAAAGTTAGCCACTATCCATATGGATGGAGCTTACACACAGAAACAGAGAACTACAAAAATCACAAAATAAAAATTCTAAAAACTAAAATTACAGCACTGGCCTAACAACCGGCAATCTCAGTGCTGTAAAGACATGCATCCCGTTTATCAAATGAACAAGAATCTCATTACAAAACAGAAATTTAAAGAAAATAAAAATTGTTCAGAAAACACAAAACTAAGAAAAATGATAAATCCGAAATCAGGAGTGGGAAGGACCGTCCTTTTGACTCACCCTCTTTCCCTTTTTATAGGGTTCCTTTCCTTCTTTGCGCGATTTTTCTCTCCAGCTCAGCAGATATACACGCGCTCCTTGCGCGTTACACACCGGTGGTCCCCAACAGCTCCCTCCTCAGACAAACTAAATGGATTGTTGCTCCCTCACCCCGTACGTAAACTTGCGCCCACAAATCGCTCCAGTCTCCACTCTCAAAAAAGTATCCAGCTCATCCACTCAGCAAGGGGTTGTTGTTTTGACGTTTTCTGTATGAGGAAAGGGTGTCTAGGGTTTGGTTAATCTTTCAATGAACCGTGATTGAGGGTTTATCTTGACAAATAAGCCAAATACAAAGAACGGTTTGGCTTTGCAAATCGCTTTGTGGTCAGGAACTTTGGTCGGTTGTGTGCTAGGGTTTTCTAGCAGCCCTTTCTCGTTTCTGACTCTGTCTCTTCCTTTCCTTTTGATTTCTTTTCACCTGGCTTTCTTTCTTCCTTTCCTTTTGGGCTTTTTAGGTCCGGCCCATCACTTCCCTGTACTTCTTTCTTTTTCTCGTGCTGACTTCTTTCTCTCCTCTTCTTTTCTTTTCTTTTGGGCCACTGATTGGGTTTTAATTCCTCTGGCCCATCTTCTTTTCTGATTTGCTTTCTCATTTTGGGCTTCTGATCAAAGCATTTGCCCAATTTTTCTTCACTCTTTTTCTGCATGGAGAATTAACACCAATTGGGCCTGAACATATAAAATCAGCCCATTAATATCAAAATCAGAAAAATTCACTTCAATGCAATCTTTGGGGTTTTTTATTAACAAGGATATTCTTTTCACTCCCATTTTAATATCAAATTACATGTTCTAAGTCACAAACAATGGACTTATCACGTCCCATATCACCCCTCCCTTATATATCTTCCCTGAACTTGCTTGGCTTCCTTATTGTGCGTATGGCTTTTCTCTCAGCAATGCTTAATTCCACTTGCTCATTCTGCTCTGTTTCTGTTGCTGAATTTTTCTTCTCTATTTCCTGGTCTTCATTCGTATCATCCCCACTAGCCATGTATGGTGGGCTTGTTAGTTCCTAAGCTAACGGCGGATTATTATTATTATTATTATTATTATTGTTGAGGACATAAAAATTGAGGGGCAGCTGCCCCGTAGTCTCTTATAAGTTCCGGGAGTTTTAACCTTTTTTATTTATTTATTGGCTTTAAAAGCAAGACAATTTTCAAAACCTAAGGTTCAAAGTCTACTTATTCTTACTACTTTTGTAGTCTTCGGTTGATTTTTCCAAGTTTTAAAGGATAGTCACATGTGTGAACATTAGCATGAAAAAGATACACCCTTTGCAATTGGATGATCAATATATGTTGAAATTCAGTGATTATGCATGATCGAAGGTTGAAATAACTTTGCATCGGTCAAGAATATTTAATTTCGACAGGAGGTGGTACTGTTGTGTTGACGAAGACTCTTTCAATGGTGGTTGGAACTTGGAAGTTACTTCTATGTGGGCTTCCAGTGGAACAAATGGTTGGTATATATCTACAAGACACTTCATAAATAATTTTACAAACAAGTGTATGCAAATAGAAGATGTATATCTTATAATGGTTTGAGTATTTATACTCATGGTATGAGAGACATGTTTAGAGGCTTGTGAAATCGGGTAATGGAGAAAAAAGCACATAAAACTATACAAATTTAAGGTGGAAAAATATTTTCTCATGTTGCATAAGAGTTCAATTCTCATGTTGTGACCCTTTAATTTGCGTACAAAGCTTTTTTTTTTTTCATTTTTTAATAAATGTGGGGCTCATCACTAGTTGAGTCACAACATGAGAATTCAATTATCATGCAACATGAGAAAATCAAATCTCATTTAAGGTTTTGAATTTAAATATAACATTAATCTCACTAGGCTTGGCAAAAATGAGCCAACCCATCAGGTTGGCTCGTAACCCGACTAAAATGAGCTGGATTGGGTTAGGGAAAATGAGTTAGTAACTCGAGTCAGCCCGACTCGTTTCAGCTCGAAAAAAATCGAGCCAACTCACGGGTCAAACGGATTGGCTCGCGGGTTATGGTTTTTTTTTTAATATAAAAGTATAAAAATTAATGAAGGTAAAGTGGAAAGCTAAAACCTAAAATTTCAATTTCAAAGATCCAAACAAAAATACCCTGCAACTGTCAATAAGTCCAAAACTGTGCATTAAGGATCTTTTTTATAGTATGTGTGACAGTGTGAATGTGCTGCCAACTGCCAATAAGTCCAAGTCCAAATACAAAATTTTCTATGATTTATCTGTATAATGTCTTTGTATTGAATGAATTAATAATTTAGGAACAAATTAAGAAGTTATAGCATCAATAAAATTTTATTTTATTTTTTCATTTTTTCGAGCCAACCCGCGAGTCAACCCTAATCCGACTCGGGTCGGGTTGAATTTTCTGGCTCGTTTGTTTTTCAAGCCAACCGTAACCCGATTCGTTTTTTTCGGATTGAATGCTGGTTGAGTCGGGTTGGTGCGTTTTGCCAACCCTAAATGTCAGTATGTTTCCCTCAATCAAGTTCATTGAATGCAGCCTCCTATCACGGTTAATGTCTCTTAATTTTTAAGTCTGGATGCGCTTCCCTGAGTCAATATAGAATGGTAGCTCTTTTTTCCATCCAGAAAGAAATTTTTGCCATCATAAATATCTTTTTAGGTCCCTAACAAAAAATATGGTTCCCACTTTAGTCCCTTACAAAAATAAATTAGTCAGTTAGTCCCTAACAAATTCAAAATGGACCCATTTAGTTGAAATCGTGGTTCCTCACTAATTCAAAAAAGACCCATATTAATCCCTCAAAAGGACTAAAATGGGTCCACTTTGAATTTGTTAAGGACTAACTGACTAATTTATTTTTGTAAGGGACTAAAGTAAGGACCGTGTTTTTTGTTAGAGACCAAAAAAATATTTACTCTAAATCAATTGAGATGATCCCCTCCCTTGTCTCTTATGTCTTTTTCTTGTGTTACAAACGACAAGCTTCATGTTCATGTAGAATTCTCTTGAGCCCCACTTGTAATCTGTTTCAACGTGGTTGGTTTGACTTGGTTTACCGAGGAAAACATGTATGCTATACAAAAACATAGTCATGTATAGTTAGTTGTATACATTTTCACATTGGACCCAATTTATTTAAAGACTTATTTCACCTAAAGCGTTTTGATGTTTTTTGGTTATAAGAGAATTTTGAATTTATGAAAAAGCTTATTTGATATCTAATATTTACAAGTAGGCTTATTTCTAATATTTTATATTCAAGCCTATTAAGTAAAGGGATGAGATAACTAGGGCCCTAATATTTAATATTATTCATAGACTTTTATCTCCTTATATTTATTGCTACACATGCCATTTCAAACAAACCCAATCAAAACGAAAAGTCTATTAGGTAATGCTTAGTTCGGGAGAAATTTTTTTTTTACTAGGGAAATGTAATTGATAGGGAAATGGAAGGAAAGTAAGTTTGGTAGGAAAGTAAGTTTGGTAGGAAAGTTTAAAAAAAGTTGTTTGGTACCGCAAAATATTGATGAAAAAATTGGGTTAAAAATCCTAATGTATGTTTGGTTGAAAATAAAAAATAGATGGGAAAAAAAGTTAAAACTACAAAAGTAACCTTTTTTATAAAATTTTAAAATGTTAACATATATTTTTGAGTACGCTACCACATGTGCTAACAAGACTCCATAACCCAGCAACTTGTCACGCAGCAACCGTCAGCGTCACACGGTGAGTGAGCTTCTGGTGTGAGTAAGATCGTTCTCAGTTGATTGTTGAGGGATTGGCAGAAGCTCTAAGCTGCTCAAAATAGAGAACCTATACTACAACTCGAAGTGGAAGGCGTTCATTCTGTGCAGCATGCATCGATGCATCCACTGTCAATTTCTTCACATCCATCACTCCACATATCTTCTTCCTACTTTCAACTTTTGTCAAACTTAGGTGCTCCTGAAAAATGAAAGAGTATAGTTAAGAGAAGGGGCAAATTTGTCACATTTTTCATCCCTTTTTCCATTTAGCCGGTTTTCACAACAATACCACCGTGGGAGAAGGCTTCCTGAACAGTGAAATTGATCCTTGTTTACACACATATGTCAATAGCTGGAGAACTCAGTTTGATGGATAAACTTCAAGTTCTCTTCAACCAAACGTGGAGAAATGGAAAACCCACTTCCACTTCCCTGGGATAATGACCAGAAGTCCCGAGCCAAACACTGCCTTATACATTTTATTTGTCTGACAAAGCTAAGATCTTTCAGTTATTAAATTTTTAAATTCTCACCTACTATAAATAAATAAATTAAATTAAATTCTATTTTAGATTTTTCGCACTTGTAACTACTGACTTTTCTTTCCCGTTTGCAGCTTCAGGATCAAATAAAAGTTCAACTCTTTTGAGGAAAAAAAATGATATAGAATGAAGGATCTATTATTCTACATAAGATTTGACAGGATAGAAAAAATTATTATAAGTCAAATTTTCATATGTAAGCCAACGACCTATATAATAAGAGTCCCATACATCCCCAAATGTGGTAAAGAGACATCAATTAAAAATCCTTTTTGAGTTGTGTTCTCTTGTGCAATAAGCCATATATGATGCCTTTTACTTCACACATTTCAATTCTTTGGCTGATATTTTTATCTGCAACCACTTTCCACATAAGCATGTCTAGCAATCAGAGTTTGGTTCATTGCAATGAGAAGGATCGACACACACTTTCAATCTTCAAACAAGGTGTCATTGACCCTTTAAATCGGCTCTTAACATGGTCCAGTGAAGAAGATTGTTGTGCATGGAAAGGAGTCCAATGTGACAACACTACAGGCAAAGTTACAAAGCTTGATCTTAAACCACAAAGATATGGATATAGACAATACCAATTCCAACCTTTGCAAGGTAAAATCAACTTATCCTTGCTACAACTTGAATTTCTTAATTACTTGGACTTAAGTTGGAATGACTTTGAGGTTATAATTATTCCACCTTTCCATGATCATATCACCTCTAGCCTTCATTACCTTGACATATCCTACAATAATCAAGATCTTTACCTTGATAATCTTCAATGGCTTTCTCAACTTTCTTCACTAAAATATCTCAACCTCAATTTTATTGACCTTCACAAAGAAACCAACTGGCTTCAGTTAGTGGCTATGCTTCCTTCATTGTCAGAGTTAAGGTTAAGCATTTGTAAATTAACCAATATTAGTCCATCTCAGAAGTATGTGAATTTTACTTCACTTGTAACTCTTGATCTTTCTCACAACAATTTCAACTCTGAATTACCATACTGGTTGTTTAACCTTAGCAGTGACATATCCCATCTTGATCTTAGGGAGAGTAGTTTACATGGTGAAATACCTTCAACTTTGTTGAACCTTAGAAATATGAAATACCTTGATCTATCATGGAACAAACTCAAAGGGTTGATTCCATATTGGCTAGGCCAACATGAAAACTTGCAGTACCTTTATCTCTCTGGTAACCTGTTTTCTGGTTCCATTCCTTCAACTTTAGGAAATCTCTCATCCTTAATTGACTTACGTATGGTCAACAATTCCTTGTCTGGTGCACTCTCTGATACAATTTTTTCCAAACTCTTCAACTTGAAAGTGTTGAAGTTGAGTAGTTCAACTTTTGCATTTGATTTTGATCCTGAATGGATTCCACCTTTCCAACTTCGTGTGCTTTATTTGGCAAATACAAGTCAAGGTCCAAACTTTCCATCATGGATATATACTCAGAAGTCACTAGAAGCTTTAGATATATCAAGCTCAAAAATTTCATTCTTAGATGAGGAAAAGTTTTGGAGCTTTGTTGCAGGAATTAAGGATCTTTGTCTGTCCTACAATTTCATAAGTGGAGACATATCAAAGGTAACACTAAACTCTCTCTCTCTGAAGTTGGACCATAATAATTTCACAGGAGGGCTACCTAACATGTCAGAAAATGTCTCCTATGTGGATGTATCTCACAACTCCTTCTCAGGATCAATTCCTAATGGTTTTCAGAATTGGAAATATTTGTATTATGTTAACTTAAGGAATAATAAGTTAACTGGTAAAGTTCCACTTGACCTCTCCAACATGACAAGGTTGGAATTTATGGATGTTGGAAAAAATGAATTTTCTGGAACTATGCCAATGACATCCCCACAAACTTTACAAGTTATGATATTGAGATCTAACCAATTTGAGGGCATTATTCCACAACAGCTATTCAATCTCTCTTTTCTATTTCATCTGGATCTTGCCCATAATAAGCTTTCTGGATCTATACCTCAGGGTATCTATAACATTACTACCATGGCTGCAGATGATGCTTCAAAAAGGGGTTATGCTTCATACTCATTCAATTTGTTTACCAAAGGTCAAGAATATGAGTACAAATACAATGGCTTGTCCAGAACTATTGACCTTTCTGCTAACAACTTGTCTGGGGAAATTCCTTATGAATTTTTTAACCTTGTTAAAGTTCAAACACTGAACTTGTCTCACAATAATTTGATAGGGACAATACCAGAAACAATTGGAGACATGAAAAGTTTGGAATCCCTTGATCTCTCCAATAATAAACTCTTTGGGAAAATTCCTGAAAGCTTGGCTGTTTTGTCTTTTCTAAACTATATGAACCTATCCTACAACAATTTTTCTGGAGCAATCCCACTGGGGACTCAACTTCAAAGTTTTGATGCATCTAGCTATATTGGAAATCCAGAACTATGTGGAGCCCCTCTTACAAAGAACTGCTCAGAGGAAAATCTTGAAAATGACAAGTTCCATGGTGGCAATAATGAAGATGGTGACACACTAAGAGAGTCGCTCTATCTTGGGATGGGTGTTGGGTTTGCAGTAGGATTCTGGGGAGTTTGTGGTTCCTTGTTCTTTAACAGGACATTGAGACACATGTATTTTCGATTCCTTAATCATGTTGCACACCGATTTCATGTGGTTGCTGCTCTCAAATTCAGCAATGCTTTGGCAGAATAGGAGCAAGTTCCAGCTATTTCAGGTAAGAATAAGACATGTATCATTTTCTTCTTAGATTGAGTACTATTATGCTTCATTAATTTTTTTGGGATGTCTATAACTTATTTTCCCGTGTGACAACCATTATGTATAATGTATGTACACATGAATATCCATTAAGGTTAACAAATCTGTTGACTATATAAGCATAGTAAGCGCTAGAAGATTGATGAGTAAAAAATCACCTTGGGTAAATTGCTGAAGCATTTTTCACCAAAATAAATAAATAAAAGAAAATTGCTGAAGTATTCATGTTTGATGATACATTTGCATACTAGCTAGTTTTCTTACGAAATTCTTGTATCACTTTCTTTTAAGATAATAAAATAAGATTAATATAATATCTAATAAAAATAAGATAATAAAATCAAGGCTAATTGAGCAATGTAAGTATAGTTTTAAATTTTTTTATTGAAATAGCATAGATTAGAAATTATCTCAAGTGATAGACTTTGACCTATTTTGATTACGTGAGTCACATACGTATGACAAGTGTCAAATACATTGTAATGACATCTGTCATGTTTGTGGAACCCTCACAATCAAAAGTGATCAAATTATATTACTTTGACAAATAATTTTCAAACCATATTATTTTAATATTTTTAAAATTATATTATAAAAGCAGAGCATGAAACAATGGTAAAATTATAATTTTTTAATCAAAAGGTTTATTCTATTTGTTAAATAGATTAAGCAAAAAGCAAGTCGGATCATAAGCCCTTGACAAGTGGCCTGATCCATGCATTTACACCCTTATGTACAAGAATTTCTCTACTCTCGTTACTCAGAGTTTAATAGGGAATGATTTTTTTTTTATCATATTATAAAATCCTCTTAAGCATCCATTAACACTACTATTATGCATCAAATATATTATTGCTCTTGGAAGCAAAAGCTAAACTGTTAATTAATAAATCTAATGGATAAATAACGACATCTTCTTTTACTAATAATAATTTGAATTCATTTACTAATAAAATTATGGGAAATTATACTCTTATGTCACATAAGATTCCTCTTTCATTTTACACTCACATAAAAAGACGTGTCTCTCTTTTCTTTTCTTTTTTCTTTTTTAAAAATTGGTGGATCCCACTTAATTTATCTCACAACATGAGATAACTTCTCTCATACAACATGAGAGAAGTAAAACCCTAAAATTATTGACAAAACTATATTATATGGCTTTTATTGTTTTGTAGATTGAAGCATCAGCCTCCATCCATTGTGCTGGTCATTTGATACTGAACATGTGAAATGTTCAATCAAAAATACTTTAATTCTAAGTTTTCAAAAATCAAAACAAACTAATCCTAAAGGTTTGAAATAAATATTTTTCTATAGTTCTATGTGAGTTAAATATATAGAGTAGATCGATTCTTGATTAATGCGAAACTTGACTAAAACTAAAAGAGAGACACAAAACAACCTAATACAAACTTTCCAAAACCAGTTAGATATTTGGCAAAAGTATTAAATGACACAACTTATATTTTTTCACTCTTATAAAGAGGTGGGACTCACATCTTTATTTTTTTTGTCAACTCTCTATTCTCTTGTACCTACACACACTTTTCCCTATGTATCCATTAAAAGTTGAAACTTGTGATATGGAATTTGAATCAATCAGCGCAAGCTTTAAACACACGCACGCATTACACTTTTTGCATTATATATTAATCAATCAATATTTCTTGAATGTTTGAACGGAAGAGATTTTGCATATTACGCAGATTTTGGAGACAGAAAAAAGGATAGGGTGACTTTCAATAACCAAGAGTAGTGGGCGCTGACGGATTTAATAATGGGTTCGATCTTATAGCATATAGGAATTTTTCAACTGGAAATTCAGCCACTGAACCTTGGTACAAATTCAAATTACCACAGACAGCTCTTACATTTATTGTGCTTATAAACTGCTTGAAATTTCTTATGTATATGGTATTGTTTTCTTTTACTATAAAGCTAGCATTGGATTCCCAGTTGTTAAGTGTGATTCCTTTGCTACAATTACATTTAACTCAGTATTTGTCCGTCATTATCTGCTTCAAACCTGCATTAGAATGTTGGTATTGTGCAATTTTTCTGTCAAACGCTAGCCGGGTAAATTCATATTTAAAAATAACCTTACAATTTTTGCATTTAAATTTCATAGAATAAATAAAGGGTGAATTGGTTCTTGGGATAAATAGTAGAAATTTTATAAATAAATAACTTAATGCAGGATGAACACAATTAACGACTCATTGACCCATATTGTCAAATTTTCAAAAAAATTAAATTAAACTGTTATAGTGACGTTGCAAATTTATTTACCTACCTTGGTCATTGAGACACCTATAGAGGGTAAATTGCATTTGAAGACGCTTAACCCCTGTAGAGAGTTTCACAGGATGCTACCACATTTGTATTATCGTCCCACCCCAATCACACTCATTTCCCTTATAAATATCTACAGTGTTGGGGTTATAGGCCCAACAATTTCTTCGCTATGTTCACAGGACCAACTGTGTGTCTGCGGTTTAACAAACCCATTCGTTGGCACCTACATGCAGTTAGGGATATGCAAAATAACCAAAAAACTGAATTGAACCATGAACCGAATCATCTTTTAAAATAACAAGTTTTTAAAAATCAGTTCATGAACCGAACCGTTTTTAGAACCAGCGATTTTTAGAACCAGTTTAAGAACCGAACCATTTTGAACCGAACCGAACCGAACCGTTTCCGAATCGAACTGAACCGTTTTCAAACCGAACCAAATTGATTTTTATAACTTTATTTTTTTGAATTTTAATTTTTTTCTTTTCAAAAGAGGGTCGACCCGAATCGGTTCCGAACCGAACCGTTTCCCACCGAACCGAACCACTTCCGAACCGAACAAATTTTGGACCGAACCGAACCATTTAAACCAATTTGGTTCGGTTTTTCAAAAAAACCGGTTCGGTTCGACCCATGCACATCCCTATATGCAGCCCCTCTTGTCCATCCACCGCTTAGTGTGGGGCTCTTGATACCCAAATGGAGGAGCAAATCTTAAGTGCTACTGCTGCATACATCACTTCTAAAGAAAGAAAAAATTTGGATTTGAAAGAAATTATGAGAAAATACTTGATTCAAGTGGTATTAGAAATTTTCAATTTAGGAAAATGTTGTACGGTACAACAGTAGTTCAGAAGAAAATTCCCAAATGGAGAAAAAAATAAAGTTGTCTCATGACTAATGACTAACAGTTGCAACTTTTTCCTAGTGGTTAGTGATTGATCCTAACTCTTGGTATCAAAGCGTGGGTCAAAAAAGGTGTCATGTTTGAAGGTGAAAAAAGGCCAACACGTATCCAACGCAACACAACCATTGTCGAACTGCATCAGAGAATTTGGCAAAAGTTAAGTCTTCAAGGTAACCAATGTATCACTCAGATCACGACAAGGTTATGGAAATCCGAACAATACATTAGTTTGCAAGTGGTTGACGATGAAGACATGGAGATGATAATGGAAGAATTTTTCAACCAGTCAAGGAAAGATTTTCTGGAGTTGTATGTCGACATCGCCGCATCGGAGGATGTTCCATTACCGGTGAGGTCAGCTGCTTTAAATTCTCCTCATCTTCCATCAACGTCTGTCGCTCATGCTTCTCCAGTTGGTAACATTTCTGAGGGAGATGAAAATGATCCGTCTTGGGAAATGCATGACGAAGACGACAACGACGATGATGAAAATACCGCAATGGAAGAACGTCTTCTGATGGAGGATGTTAGTGCTTCAGAAGGAGATGAAGGTGGTGATAGGGCTCGTCACAAATCCCAGTATACCATGCACCAGTGGTCGCGCAAATCCCGCAACTGCATGATGTTGCATCCCCACAATTAGGTAATCATGATGAAGGTAATTTATATAATTTGTATATACATGATTTAGGAAGTTTGTATTAAGATGTTTTAAAGGTACATATACAGGCGACAATGTTGTTATTCCTTTTTGGGAAGGAATTCTGCATTATTCTTATATTGATTGGAGTTATCGGAGCGAACAAGAATCATGCACTGATGGTACGATTTTATGATCGGGATCAATACAAGGTCCGTGGCAACGGGTGATAAGTTATTTGCAAACCAATAATTTGCAACAAAAAAGAGGTCCAAATGGCTGTGAATCACAACCTCATTAGGGAGCATCAAGAAGCAATTGTAATTGAAAGCACACCTGCAAAGTTAAGCATGGAATGTTGTGCATATGATAAAGGTTGCCTGTAAGAACCCGCACTATTAATTAAGATATTTAATTAATTAATTATGCAAAATTAGGATATGATTCCATAATTGACCCTAATAATTATTTATGAGGCTTAATAATCATAATAAATGATTAAGAATGCTGAAAGTCGCTTTTCGGAAGAAAAGTGCAGATACCGGTTCTGCTAGTCGGTATAAATGCGTGCCAAAAAAATACCCCGGAAAATTAAAGTAAGTGCATGATAATTACTAGAATAATATGTAGGACTTGTAAAACGAGTTTCAAGTCCAAATAATGAGAACTGGTGCTAGAAACCGGTACTGGCTTTGAAAAGCGCGTACCGGAAAGTTGCTCAGAAAAATATAAGAAAAATATGATAATTCTTGGAAAAATTTGTAGTTTCAGAATCCAAAGTTTTGGATTAAAATGCTAAGCTTAGCAATTAAAGTTAATACTGTGTGTTTAAGTGTGTTTGGGCTATAAATACTCCCATTATGGGCACAAAACCCTAGGATCAGATTTCTCTACGTGAGTTGGGGCTGACCATTTGCTGGTTACTGTTCCATTGGCTTTCCCTTCCATTTCTTGAGCCAAGTTGTGATCTTTCTTGAGTTTCTTCATATTTCCACCTTGTAAACACTTGAGAGCATCCTTGTGGGAGTGAAATGAGGGTCTTTTCTGAGGTTCCAGCTTCTGTGTTGAGCTGGTGAGGGGGCTGAGTTT